GTATATATACTGGTCTTTTACTCCACACCCTCACTAGCTCATTGTTTGGTATCACCTACTGTTATGTTGTCCCCCATGTTGTTCTTGTTATTAGTTTTTTTGCTGCCTCGACAGCTTTTAGTTTATTTTTGTTAAAATAAATCTTTTTACTTCTTTCAAACCTTTACCTCTGTCTGGATTTGGATTCTTCTCCTCGACACAACGTAACAGTTAGGATGGTGCAGAGTGTCAGTAAATCAGAAAAAGAAAAAAACAGATTACCACAGAACTGTTCTGAAAACTTAAGTTTAGTCTCCTAATGATAAGCATAATAATAATAAGCATCAAATACTTCAAACTGTCAGTTTATTTTAAACCTTATCTAAGTATGTTTTTACAACACGCATACAATGTATCTTCCACTTAAATGTAATAAATTCATTTTGATATTGTTTGACTATCTTCCAGCACTTTCATAAAAAAAAATACACGTAAAAAAACTTTAATCCAGTCTGTGTAATTTCGTGAGGTCAAAACCATTTATTATTTTCAGGCACAAAGGTTGTAAAGGCAAATATTTAATGTTAATTTAAAAAATAATAATTGACTTCCACACACAAAGCAGACAGTTTTGGAGCAGATCTGGTGTCAAGCTGACATGACTTGACTGCTGCGGGATGTGGTGCCACATCTTTGTCCCTGTGGCTGAGTTGGTGTAATAAACTGCTTCATCTTTGTGCTCTGCAGACTGTCATCTATCTTTAAAACAAGAATCTTGCTGAATTCTAATGTGCTGGAGAGAATCTGACGTTTTGTTATCAGCAAAGGAYCCTTGCCTCACTGCCTTCCATGTAAAATGTGTCACAAAGCTGAAGACGAATCAGCAGATAGTCCCTGGAATCATCAGTGCCATTTTTCTTTGTGTCGCTGCTTTAATCTTTACTTTTCATTTAAGATTGAAAAATGTACTATATTTTTTTTTATTTTTGGGGGGAGGTGGAGGGGCTCTGCCACTTTTGACTCCTCTTGGCTCTGTCTGACCTTATCAGCCAGGCCTTGTGAGGATTTGTGCTCAAAGCAGTTTGCAATAAATTAGGCAATGTTGACTCAACTCTTGCCGTCCCCAGTCACGGTACATGATGCTGGAATTTATTTTCAAGTCAGGTCTTCTGCTTAGTCCAATTAGTGCACCAATTTGGATTGTTAAAAATGTACCTGTAGTGGCCCTTGATGCTAAAAACAGCAAGTTACTGACAGGAATTTGTAGCAGTAAATTAGAAAAGTCTATTGAGGATGTGTTGGCAGAATAACTATCACAATATTTTTAATCGATGATCAGTCTTGAATTAAATATTAAAATTAAATAAAAGTACCAGTTTTTTATGCTAAGTTACTCTGTAGTTCAACATGATCTTACTGTTTAAAGTATTGTACAGTACTTTGCAAGACCCATCKCCTTCTTGTCTTTTTAAAACCTCTTCTTTATGATTGCATTTTGTGTAACAATGCGCTTTTCCTGTGTTTTAATAACACTGTATGAAGCTAATGGATGATAAAAGACTGACAATGCAATCTAAGGCTATGCTTACACAACAGGTCTTACTGCTCAATTTTGATTTATTTGCTCATATTCTCTCTGTCTGTCTCTCTCTGTACATGTCTTGCTATGGTTCGTGTGGACTCATTTTACACTAAACTATACTTTTTATATGTTTTGTCGTTGTGCATAGTCCACACAAAAGAAAACCACATTTGTGGGTCTGGCGTTGGGGCTGTGGTTAGGTTTAGGGTAAGAGGTCAGGGTAAGTCTGTAGACATTAATTAAAGTCGATGCAAGTCCACACAAAGAGAGGTATGTGTGTAGTCTATGGCCCTAAAACAACTTGCATTTGCAGAAGCAGCATTGTGTGTTTATGGAAGTAAATATGATGCTACACATGTGACATGTTTGCATGTGTGTACGGATTTGGAAGTTTCTCTACAAACAGAACCAACTTCCTGTCTCACAGACTTGTGTTGTGCAGCATTTATATTTGATCTTGCTGCTTCCTGCCTACTTCAGGGCAGAATTTCAACCCAGAATGGGAGCAACATGCTTAAAGTAGAAACAAACTTTAGTATAGACCTTAGATTTACACAGTGAATGCACCTGGTGTATGATCTGGTGTCACCGTGACAGTGTTGGGCAGAAGAAAAACACAAAACATTGTATTTTGTAATGGCATCAAGTACTAATGGCACAAATACTGTAAAAGAAAATGTGAGTTACTGTAAATTGTTGTCACCTATTTTCAGTACAACTGATTTTGTCACACGAGTATCACTACAGTCTTACATGAACATTGGTACCGTGTTGATATAAATTCTAAATGAATGAATAAWTTGGGTCACTTTTGCCAGCAGTGTGATCATAAGCTAAAAGACCTCAGACTTCTTATTTTTTTCTAAACTCTATGCAACTAAAGGCTTTACCTGCATCTCTAAACCATTAAATCTCATTTTCTCTGCATGGAAAATTAAAATGGCTTAAAAGCTGACGTGTTTGTGAGAAGAAACAAAAAAACAGCACCTAAGGAGAGGATACGAAAGTGTTATAACTTGAATGCATTTGGATGGTAATGGCATATTTTATTGGACTGAATTATTATGTAATCTCCCTTTTGGGATCAATAAAGCTTTGTGAATCAAATTAAATATTKTATTTTGTAAAGTATGAGTAATCTAAGTACCTGCTGACTACCTCAAACCTCACTTCTGCTGACATTTTAAGGAAGTCACAAAACTATTGTGTTTCACTTCTCATAGTTCTGTAAAAAAAATAACAAGCATGATTTTTATAGAATGCAGCCCTCATAACAGAGAACATAGTTTTTTAAGTGATTTTCTGTTTAATAGTTATCAATAGTACCATATCTGCCATGTCATCAGAGTATAGAGAAAAGGGGCAGAAGACTTTCTCTAAGCTGGGCAAAATAAAGACCCTAAAGCAGGAGCTAACAGTACCAAAAGCACCTAACATGATGGGWGATAGGTCTGTGCATTAAGAGTGCTCCCTTAAAATCAGWGCAGAAGATTAATTTAAAAAAAAWTTTTAAGCCTAAATGAAACTCATGATGTTGGTAGGATAGATTTTGATGAGTGGAAAACTTACAAAACTGCAGTGTAGATGGTAGTCGTGAATTTTATTTTTTCTCACTAATTTGTGAACATGAGCGTAGAAATTTAGCCTAATCTTGCCCCTAACTCATGAGAACACTATGAGAACATTGGGCCTCATGCAAAAACCGTTCATACGC